GAGAGAGAGAGAATAGTCCAGTGTGTGTGTGAGAGAGAGAATAGTCCAGTGAGAGATTCTGTGTGTGTGTGTGTGTGTGTGTGTGAGAGAGAGAGAATAGTCCAGTGAGAGAGAGAGTGTGTGTGTCTGTGTCTGTGTGTGAGAGAGATAGTCCAGTGTGTGTGTGAGAGAGAGAGAGTGTGTATGTGTGTGCGCGTGTGTGTGAGCGCGCCTTCACATCATCAGTTACTGACTGAGTGCCGTGGCAGCACCTCCGTGCTGGGTGCACCTGCGTCTCTGCACACCTGTTCGTAGGCACACCTGTGCACCATGGTGGGAGGCGTGCTCAGTCCGTTCCCCAGAGAACCCTGTCAGTTGGCCAGGTTTGGCGTTCCTGCACTCCCTGCTCCTGCCCAGGTAGCTTAGCCTGATGCCTGTACGAGCTGATCACACACGTGTGCTGACCTTTCCTTCACTGCGACCCAGTCCTCACCCAGTGGGTGGTGTACGCGGTGCGGAACCTCACAGAGGGCAACAGCCAGAACCAGGACCTGATCGCAAAGATGGAGGAGCAGGGGCTGGCAGATGCGTCCGTCCTGAAGAAAATGGGATTTGAAGTGGAAAAGCAGGGTGAGAAGCTGATCCTGAAGTCCACCAGCGAGGCCCCACGCCGGTGAGTACGCCAGGTAGCCCCACATCCCCTCCTCGGAGGGGCCCCTTCACATCAGCCGGGGAGAGCACCTCTTCCAGAAGGTGAAATGAGAAATAGAAAATTGCTGTTTTCTTTAAAAAAATAAAATGACTGTTTATTGTGACCAAAAATACAAAAACCCAGTAAACTTCCATAATGTGGCATGGGATTTTCAGATCTCTGTTACTTCTTATCATTGACAGAGTTCTCTGTTTTGATAATTCTTTGCCTGATGATTCTTGTACATAGATGGTTTATGAAAGTGCAACTACAGTTTTTTCTTTTTCTTTCCCAGTGAGTGAACTCCCGGCCCGGCACTGGATTTTTGGAATCCTGTTTCATGAATTCTTCCTGTTCTGCAGTCTGAGAAGTTCCAAGTGTTTGAAGATTTCTAAGTGCAAATTTGAGACCATGTCATCTTTTCGATTGTAGTGTTGAATGTGCTTTGGCTTCTTAGTGTAGTGGGTAGTGTTCTATTGTTTCTTTGCTTTAAAGCCCTGACTTGTTTCTGTCTTTGTCCACGCAGACACAAGGTGCGTTTAAGTAATAGATTGTACTTCAGTGGCAGCAGATAATAAAGTCTTCTCTGGGGCAGCCTGGCCAGGATCTGGTGTCTGCTGGGCTGTCCGTCCCTGGGCCGCAGCAGCCTCGCGCCTTTTTAGTTCCTCCTCCTCAGGAGGCCGCCTGCACCTGACAGTGCTACGGCCTTTCTCACCACAATTTATCCAACAGTCTGTTTCCACCCTCTGCCTTTCCAAAACATTGACAATACTCATTTCAAGTTAATTAATTGGAGAAATGCTGAAGAATAGAGACCCCTGCCTCTCCTGGTGGGGACTGGGCTGGGCTGTCATTGAGCCAGCCCCTCTGGAATGTGTCGCAGTGCAAGGCTGGAGCCAGCAAGCTAGGTGGTTAACTCCTCCAGTGCCGTACGGTCCCCGGTGAGATCCTGCAGTCCTTGACATTCATATAAAGGCACTTAGTGCCCCGTCCACCTGAGGACAGGCTGCTGTGCGGGACTGAGCGTCTACTCCAGCTTCCCTGGATTCACAGGCATCATTTGGGGGACACTAAGCCCCTGTGAGTCCCACATCTCAAGCAGGGCACGTGGTGAGTTTTTGAGACAACCGGGCTAATAAATGTCCAGTGATAGTTTGCTCACCTCGTGCAGCATTCTGTTAAAGAAAACCACCTAACCAGGAGTTTTCTACAAGTACCCATCACCCTGCAATACAGGGCTTTTTGCCACCACACACTAGCCGGGTTGTAGAGACCGCGTGCAGGTGACAGGAAGGAAAGTGTTCCCTGAAACCCCAGAGAGGAGGTTTCCATCTGCAGGACGGCGGTGGTCTGTGTGACATCTCTCCAGCCTTGAGCAGAGAGAAGTCACTGCAGAGCTCAGAGTGCACAAAGACGTGGTTCTCCCGGGACACAACGAGTTAAGCCCCGTTCTCCAGATGGAAGCCTGGTGGGGGAAACAGTGGGGGTCCCTCTTCCTTTTAACAAGTTTTCAGTAGACACTCCTTTTTTCCTCTCTCAATGGCTGTGTGCACACCAGTGGAGTCACACAAACATGGTCGTAGAAGCCATATAATAACACCACCAATACATGAAAGGGTCCTTGTGCGTGGACAGAGTGGGGGATGGTCCTGTGTGTCCTAAATAGGAAGTGTGGGGCCTGCGCAGGGAAAACACGTTGGCGGCCGCATTGTGCCTGCCTTTGGGACTGATAGATGAATTCTTGAGCACAGCGGTGTCTCTGTCCCTGGCTGGGACCCTCGGAGCTTCTGAGAGCCAAGTGAGGTGCTCCAGAGGACCAAATCACCATCCCAACCCATCACTTGGGGGAAAATAAAACCCAGGCCGACCTCACAGAACACGAGAGATGGAGTAGCCCCACGTCATCTGTGACCACATCACTGCATCAGGAGCAGTGCTGGCCGGATGTGCATGTCCTTGCCCGCCTTGTCCTGAAGGATGGCACACAGAGGCCCTTCTGCTTGGTACTTAGCCCATGGATTCACAGAATGCCTTAAGCATTATTGTTACTGGGTGCCATCGAGTCAGAACCAAATCTTAGCTGACCCTCCAGGAGATTTTCAGAGGCAGTAAATAGCATGGGAGATTTCCTATCCTCCTGAGGGGCACCTGGTGGATTCGAACCACATGCCTTTGAGATTGCAGCATAGCTGCTTACCACTAGGCCACCAGAGCTGAATAACTATTCATTTCAAAAAATCGATATTTTCCTAATTTTAATTCTGTGCTCTTAGAATTCGTTGGTGGTTTAGGTAAGGAAATAATCTGCCAATTCAAAGACACACAGTTCAAGTCCGCTGACTGCTCGATGGGAGAAACGTGGGCAGCCTCCTCCTATGTGATTTACAACTTCTGAAAACCCGTTGGAGGGTCAGCGATGAGTCTGTTCCGACTCCACGGGATATTGTAACACAAATGCACTGATACTGTGTGTGTCCGTCTTAACATCTGTAGTACTTTCTTTTCAAAGCTAATACTTGAGGTACATTCTTGTTCAGTAACTTCAGAGCCAAAAAAGCGACAGAATACATCTGATTTTGCAAAAATGGGATATAGAGAAATCATTCAGCTGGCTTTCAGCTAGCAGTGGTAAGGTTTGAAGGCAAAGGTTAACGTTTCATCAATGTAGTTCTTCCAACAGTCCTGTAAAGAGTTTGGCTGGAGCTACATCTGGTGTTTGTGTCAGTGGGTGGCTGACTTCTTTCTTTCATTGGTCGCAGCTGCAGCACTGGGTTGGAAGAACGGGAGGGTGGCGTGGACGCACCAAGCTTCTGGTCTCATATATGAGGTCACTGCAAGGCAGAGGGACTCCACACCAGCAGCTCATGAGTAAACAGGTGTCAGAACTGCCAACTTCAAATGGTACACCATGATCAGGAAGTTCTGTAGAGAAAGGAAACTGGTTTGTGGAGCAGAATTAACACTATTTAAAAATGCTTCGAAGACGGGGGAGACCCTGACAATTCAGATCTTTTGGAAGAAAACCACCCAATGACGCAGCTTCTGAGTGCTGTCCAAGGTTCTGATGGTGTCTGCGCCATGCCTGGACGCAGTAAAGACCAAGGGTTTAAAGCAAGGGATGCCTGTGTTGGTTTGTTCCCCGCCTCTTTGTGAGAAGCAAACTCCTTATCTTCTTTCAGTTTTTTTTTAAAATTACTACTGTTTGGCTCTTTGGTGTCGGCTTTTCCTTGTGAGCTTGAGCTGCGGGTGCAGCTCGTGTGGCTTCCTGGCTCAGTGGTGTCTGTGGACCAGTGGTGGTTCAGCCCTCACACTGGGCTGCTCTTCATGGCCAGAGGCCTGACAGTGAGGACTGCCTTCGTTATGGTTTTGACAGCTGAGTTCTTTCCTTAAAAGCATGAATGAGTCCAGAGTTGTCACTCGCTTACCTTAGGTCATTGAGCAAGAGAGTTTAGGTCATGTGTTTCCATCGTGGTGGATCCTCTGTACAGTGTAATGGGGGTGGTGCAGGGCCGGCCAGGGTGCATCATGCTTGGGGGCGGGGGACATGGCGCAGGGCCGGCCAGGGTGCATCGTGCTTGGGGGACGGGGAGCATGGCGCAGGGCCGGCCAGGGTGCATCGTGCTTGGGGGCTGTGGGGGGAGAGAAAAAGTGCAGGGCCGGCCAGAGTTCATCGTGCTTGGGGGACGGGGAGCATGGCGCAGGGCCAGTCAGGGTTCATCGTGCTTGGGAGTTAAGGGGGATAGTGCAGGGCCGGTGTGGGTTCATTATGTTTGGGGTGCTGAGGGGTGAGTCGGCCTGACTCAATGGCACCTAACGACAACCGTAGTTCAGACTCTGAAGCAGGTCCCTGGGTTCCAATCCCTACTGTTAACCTATGTGACTAGGCAGATAATATAAGGGCTCTGTGCCTCCATTTCTTTGCCAGTAAAATGAGGCTAATGGTACCAATAGTAAATGAAGGCACAGGAAGAAATCTGCTCAGGACATCTGAAGCGTGGGTGTTCGCCAGTTGTTAGTTACTAACATTGCTGTGTTGTGTTGCTAGGAGGCTGGTCCTTGGAGAGGGACATCATGCTTGGAAAGGTGGAGGGTCGGCGAAAGAGAGGACCCTGACCAGGTGGATTGACACGGTGACTTCAGCAGTAGACTCAGGTGTGTCAGAGATTGAGAGGACGGCACCGGCTAGGACAGGGTTCAGCTCTGTTGTTCACAGGGTCGTTAACGGTACCTCACAGCCACCACCTTCACAGAGGCTTTGTGTGACGGGCGCACCTGGAACTCAGCAGACGCTGCCTGTCCCTGCTGCCTCCCGTCACCGCAGTGCAGCATCCTGGAACGTAGGTGCTCACTTAGCCAACACCAAACACCCAGCACTCAGTCCTCACAGCTCCTCACGGGCGTCTGGTAACAGTCCATGTCGGGAATAACAGAGATGAGTCACCATTAATGCCCAAGATCACAGATATGGTCGCTTGGAATAGTTACTTGGAAGGGAAGGATTAAGGGGGAAGACTGGCTTCTTTTCCCAGAAGCGAAGAATGTAAATAAATGTGGCAGAAATGCTTGTGTTGTCTCTGGGCCGGGAGCAAGAGATCTCTGGCAAGGGCACACGCTCTGCCATCAGAGAAAGTGAAGTTGTAATCTCCACTCGCCAGCTGTGCCCTTGAGGAGGGCGTTTAACCACTCTGAGCTCGAATTCCCTTCCTGGTCTGCCAGGCTAGGGGTACCTGCCCTGCTCTCCCGAGAGGAGGCTCACGTGCAGGCACTACATAGGGCCAGGGACTTTAAAACGAGGTTAGCCGCCAGTTAGACACCTTGTGTGAGTGTATTACATGCACGTCACAACCACATGCTCGAACTTCACACACAAAGATGAAAGAAGTTGTCCTCTCCTTTAAGGACCTTACAGTTCAACAGTGATAAGACTAAACAGAAAAATAGGGACAAAAAAGGAAATTCAGAATGAGTAAGAAAACCTGCGCTGTGGGAGCTCAAGAAACAAAGATAGGGAAAGGCTGAAGATTCTTCTCAGAGGAGTATTTATACTGGAGTAGTTTTTGTTATGTACTGTTGCGTCGGAACCGACCCACTGCTGACTGTGCAGTGGGTTTTCAGAGGCAGTAAATCACATCGGAGAAGACTGCTCTTCCCTCCCACAGAGCAGCTGCTGGATTAGAACTGCCAGCCTTCAGGATGGCAGCACAACACACTGCTGTCCAGGCAGTCCCAGCTCATGGGGAGCCGTCACGTTTCTGAGGCTGTAAATGTTCACAGGAAGGGACTACCCGCCTTCCTCACAGGGAGGACCTGATAATTTGGACTGCAGCCTGTTGCAGCGACCAGGGAGCTACCAAGAGAGCAAAGAGGCGCAGGATCAACATTTCGATTTCTGAGTCTAAGAAAGTGAATCCAGCATTGGAACTGCTTGTCCCTTTGGAATTCTTTCTCCAGCTGGAGGATAAGCTCATGGAGTGGGCAGGGAATGAGACCAGTGGTGAAGAAAGCCGTTAAAATGAAGATGTTGAACAAAGGGAAACCAAATCTCAAGAAGGTAGGTTTAAATCTAAATACAGGAGTAACTGCATTATGTCCAAGTGGACTAAATATTCCATTTAAAAGACGAAAGATTTTTTTCAGATGTTTTAAAAAGCGAAAGAAAGCTATAAGATTATTAAAAATGACTCACCTAGTACC